ATTGCCAAGAATGTTTTCGAATGATTTAAGTAGACGAGGATATATTATTCAGACTTGATTTAAAAGGTTGAATTTCGTTAAATTCTTTGTTCACGTTGTACAGAGTTACCAGTGTGTTATAGAAACATAGCACTGGTTCTATTTTTTGAAATACTGTACGATTTACATATTTATACGTTAGTTCACTTTATGGATATACCGATAAAACCCAATAAAACTTTATCAGCCAATTTAAATTGAACTCTAATTCTCTTGACTTGATAGAAATCTTGTTTAAAATAAAGATTCCAAAGACGACTGGTCTCCGATATATTTGTAGCATTGACACGTAGCAAGCAAGACATCCGTGGGACTACTGCATTTCCACGCTGATTACAAATGTTCTAAATTTATTTCTCAGTTAGTAAATAAACAAAGGAAATGAAGTAATGTTTTGAACTGTTCTAATTCTATTCTGAAGTATGTATGGGTGCTATTATGAAGGATTCGTTTTAATAGTTTCTGTAATAAGGTTGAATTCTTTAATATGTATCGTCTTATTTAATCTACGACTGCAGTCTTAAAATGAAACCTGTGTACATTATCTGTACGAGATAGCAAGCAGTTGTTGCAGGGACAGAATTTATGAGTTCGTACACTTAGTTGCAATACTAAAATAAACTATTTATAGGCGTGCTGTTTTGTTAATCTGCATACCGACATCGCATAAAAGTTCCACAGCAATTCGAACTTAATGCGGTCGGCATTTGTTAACTAAACCGATATTTTTAATTAAAAGGAAAATGTTAAGACGGGAAATGGTTTCATTAAGCGTGTTCAAGTCTGTGTTTTTATTTTTTTTCGATTGCTCGACTTTTAATGGTCTGCCAGCGTTGTCTGCTGGTATCCTTTGGTTTTTTGTAATTAAAATAATCAATTTATTCGATCGGATATGTACTGTAATATATAGAACGGACGTTTAAGTACGCATTTATTAACAAAAGATTTACGAAATCAATTATAAATAATTATGTAACAATAATAAAGGTGTTTGACAAGTTACTTCACAATGGAACATGTTAACACCTATAATAATACATATTGTGTTTAGATATAGAGTTTAGAATCAAAGGTTCAAATTCAAATTATAAAAATTAACAAAACTATATTCTAAATAAAATTATTGTATTCGAAATAAATAATTGTATTCGAAAAACTATTTTCCAAATACAATTTGAATTAAATACTCAACTGGAGTTTAAATCCCGTTCGTTTGAAGCAGAATGCATCGACAGTAATCCTAAGACAGTCTTGTTTCCAGCTGATGTGCCTCGTTTCATTCCGTCTGTCATTTGTGTTTATACTATGCAAAGCTAAAAGATAATTATTCATTTATTTGCATATGCGATTGAAGTCCCTTAGGGCTAATGCTCCACTTAACTGACTTGATTTTTTTATCAGAGAAGGTGAAAAGAATGGGGTTCAAATGATAATAAGTGATAACAGTCCAGATTTATTGGGGTCAAGCTATCAACCGGCTGAGCCTTTGCTACTTTGAGATAGCGCCCGAAAAATGCCAAAGTCTCACAACCCAAGAGTCCTAATGAAGGGTTTCAGGTGCGTTACCAACTTTTATACTATGGTCCACCGTATACCTCATTAACCAGAGAGGCGTAGCAAAATTTTACTTTTTCTTTTACATTTAGAAAACATTGCGCTTACTGTATCATACACATGATCCTGTGTTGTGAGGACGCTTTTACAAACACAATTTTATGTGGACAAACACCCAGATCCGATACAATTATCTGTGTGTCACACAAATAGTTGGCCCGTTTGGAAACGACCCCTGTCGCCGAAGCCAATACCTTGGTTTTAAGCTGCGCCATAGAGCCATCGTCTTTTGTCTCCGTATTTCCGTGACGCATTTATACTTCCTCGGTCGAGGCAGAATACTTGATTGCTACGAACTAAAGACGATCGGTTGATTGACTGTTTATTTGTGGTATTTCGTTGATAGCATTAGGAAAAACCTGCTCGGGGGCCGGTAGATTCCGAGTGTGCAAAGACAGCGTTTTACGAAAGCTTGAGTTAGGGTCTTTTAACATTTGATTATTATTAGAGGTATTGTAATACAAATATCGGAAAAATGTATACGTATGTACATACATATACATTATATATATCCTTACTACATATATATATATACATATCGTTACTAATCCTTACTAATATTATAAACGCGAAAGTTTGTATGTATGGATTGATGTTTGTTACTCTTTCACGCAAAGACTACTGAATGGATTTTAATGAAACTTTACAATAATATGGCTCAGAATAACACATAGGCATAACTTATATACATATTTTTATGAATATCTGTGTTTCTATCTGAATGTTACGGCTTCAACCTATTTTAAGCAGACATAGTCGCGGGCAGCAGCTAGTATATAATAAATTAGTATGTGTAGCAATCGAATCAATGATAAGTTGTGAAGCCAATCATAGAGTCACTACTAACAGAGGTACCTGGTGAAGGTTTGGTTATGCTCTTTTGTAAAGTACCAACTCGCTGACACTGACTGACATCCGACCTTTCGATATTATCTGTTAAACCTACATTGAATATGGAAAGGTAACGAGGAGTGTCTCTTTGTTTGCACGTTTAGTCAGTACATGCATACAATACATATCATTCAGTTAAAAATAACCAGTAACAATGTAACGATGATGCATATCATAGATTTCTAATAATGTTTTAAATTTTAACAAAGTAACACTTTAACAAAGCATATAGTATTAAAAAGCAATGCTGGTATAATCTGTTATTATACCAGCCTTGCTTAAGTTGTATGATAAACAAAATCTCATGTTTTTAACTTTAAGAGAAATGGAGAGTAAGAAAGTGATATTTGTGTTTTAATGAGGTTTTTTGACAGGTGTCAAGACTACCACCATATACCTGGGGGAAATGTAATACAGCGAAACAACTTTGTATACGGACATATTTAAACGGTTAATTTTATTAGTATAGTATTCACGTTTGAATGACGCTGTACAGACCTGCCTCAAACTCTATCTGCGTTGTGTTAACGCGCGGCTTCGGTTCAAAGCGCGTTGATTAGTAATGTATGCAGACGGGTGGGAATGGCGAGTCTCGCAATTGTTATCTTAGAAACAAATTACCCTTTATAAATATTTGAGCTGTTTTTACGGGGATGTTAATGCCTGGCTCACGCTCGCCCGTGAGTGGTCGTTAGCCTGGCCTTTGTGGCCCGAGAAGGAAATTTATGATTAAAAGGGTTTACAAGCCGGCCTACTCTATTAGCGATGGGCGATGTATGGGTGCTATTGTGCGAACTGTGAACGACCTCTTCGGCATAATAACGGGCGAGGGATGCGCAGGAGCGCGTGCGGCGGAGGGGCGACCGGTTTGAAATTAGAACGTTTTTTTTTTCGTTCATTTGAAAAAAGAGCTTTGTCGGCGCCCGCCCGGTGCGCATGCGCTAACTCGACAAATGCGTCAAATGAAATAAGCCGTATTTTGTTTCCTTTTCTTTTTTTCCCTTCGCTTATGAATGCCCTTTTGAGATTTTAAACTTGGAACGTTTTCCTTTCATATACGCTTTTGAGATTATAAGGGGCCGTTGCGTGTGGGGTGTAAACTGGGTTAGCACTCCATGGAGGTTGGTCTTAAAAGCGTTATGAACGCTTAAAATTTCCGATCAATCTGACCAAAATACATTTTACTTAATTAAACATTGCAAAATGGCAAACTAGCTTAGCATAATTACGTCCAGTGGTTTATTATATAACCTAAATATATTTAACTGAAATTTAAATTTTTGAAGTTATACATACTTCTTATGACGCATTTTGGAAAAAATGATGAGACTGAGTTGCGAGAAATCCGAAAGCTACACCATAGTTACCATAGTAACCAATAACGAATAACAAGTTGTAAACCATTATCAATAGTATTTTATTTTCACAAACAAATAGTACTGGCACAGGAGATAAAATTTTTAGTTTTTTTTCTTTTGTTACGTTAAAGAAGTATAACTTCTTACGTGCGTAAATACACTGTTTTTTTCTTATAGTATTAATGAAAATTATCATATATCAAATGAATCCTTCCTTAATATTATAAAGGCGAAAGTTTGTATATATGCATGGATGTTCGTTACTCTTTCACTGAAATATGGACATATCGGATTTTAATGAAACTTTACAATAATATAGCTTATACATCAGAATAACACATAGGTTATAATTTGTATACATATTTTTATGTACATCTGTCTGAATGTTATGCCTTTAGCCTATTCTACGCAGACGTGGTCGTCGCCAGCAGCTAGTAATACAATATATTTTCGTAATTTCATTACAAACAAATGACACTAAAATGTACAGAATATTGTCATGTTGCATACATGACAATATTTTGTACATTTTTTAATTGCAAACAAAAAGATAAGTCATTAAACTATGATCTTGATTTATTAAATATAACATGAACCGTGTAAATAATCGAGCTGTTACGAAAGCCATATTCAATTTCACGCCCGGAACTCAGAAGCGCAAGCTTAAAATATTCATTCCCCATGCATTTCATAACGGAGCCACGAAAATACGTGTTCGAGAATAATTATGTAGATGTTGCATGTACGGCTGAAAGGTCGCTTAGATCATTGACAATAGGTTAAGCAGTCTATTATATCCGAGGAGACCGGAGGCGGCCGGCTCTCGTTTCCCCCCATTTCGAAGAGTAAACATCTAGACGAGGGAGGGAGACGCGATAGTACGATTCGAGGCACCGAGGCGGGCGGACGTGTCCCTACTATGCCGCGCATGTGTACACAACTTCCGAACGCGAAAACTTGAGTTCGGAACATGGCTTTTTGAATTTGGAACGCCGGCGACGCCGCGGACGCTGACAGATCGGCCGCGGGCCTTCAGTGAAACGGCTATAATGTAAAACTTATCGAATGTGGGAGAAATAAGTGTAATCCGGTGGCAGTATGGTGGATGTCGGTGTGAATGAGTGTGATAACACAGTTAATGGGAGGAACCAATTTGTTTACTTCGTGTTCGTGCATCTCCTACTAATTGGACTGAACGGAACCAATGGTGAATAAACCTTGAATTACTTTTTTGTACTTTTTTTTGCGAACTTTATGCTGAAATATATTGGAAACTGCATAAAGCTTAAACATTATAGTCTTATTTAATATCGAAAAAAATCAACAGATTATATAAAATCATGTTATAAGTATAATTTCGTTGAAGAGTCAGCGAATAAAATGTTTTATAAATTATTTAACTTTCATAATAGTTGTAGTTGGCTTCACTATTTATTTTTGTTTGCCTAGTTTTTATTTTGTTAAAAAATTCAACACTGCGTTTGGGATATTGGCAATACGACGAAAACAAATTTTCCAAAGCACTAAAAGAGTAAAACAACGGGGCGTTTATCAGATCGTCTGGTCGAGTAATTAAAAGCATGAGGCCAATTAACGAAATGTAGTTACATAGCAACGTTTCGTTGTCAGAACAATGGAGCTTTTTTATATTTCAACTTCGGCTTAATTAGAGTTTACCGATCGGCGGCTAAGTGTACGCGTCGAAACTAATGTACATAAGTTCCTTACCGTCTTAACAATTATCATAGGATAATTAATTTCGTGTCAGTGATCAGTACTCTGAACAGGATTAGTAAACAGCTTGCGCTTGTTGTAATGGAGTTGGGCTAATGACTTACAAAAATCGATTTCATTCGAATAATCGATTGAGCACTTAATGAGAATACTGTCGGTATAATATTTTGGTCTTGTCTTCTCTTTTTGGCATTCTTGAAATCGTCTACTTTTTCTCTCTGACAACCCGATTGGCGTAGTGGATAGTGTGACCCTGCCCCTTGCGCCAGAGGGTGTGGGTTCGATCCCCACTACTGGAAAAATATTGTGTGATTAACATAGTGTTTTTCCAGTGTCTGGATCTTTATATATTTATAATATGTATTTATTTCCAAAAGAAAAATACGTTTAAGTATGTTTAACAGCTATCTAGTACCCACACTACAAGCATAGCTTAGTTTGGAACTAGAAAAACTGTGTAAAAGAAATGTGTCCTTAAAATCTCCCATGCTAGGAATTATGTTCTGCTAGGGTGGAATGAAGATCATGAAAAATTATGAATAAATAGTGCACAGACTCGGACAATTAATTTATGGAGCGTACCAAATTTTGTTCGGCGTCGGGATCGAATACACGGCATGCAATAACAGTGGGTAAGCAGACTATCTAGGCCACTACAACATCTGTGTTCTTAATATTTTCAATTGATTGTTTACTCAATTTAGGTAATGCATCGCCTTAAGAATATTAGTTCAGAACGGCCCTTGGATTAATGTTGTTGTTATAAATAATAGCTTGTGCCTGAATAACATATAATTGTAGTTATAATCTCGGATTAACATCGACGAATGTAATAATGCGTAGAGTTTAATATAATTAATATAAATAGGGCTTACACCCCAGCCTTATGGCTGAAGCCATAATAGCTCAGTGGTTGGGCTTTGCTCTACGGCTCGCTTGTAAATCTCTACTCGAGCAAAATAAGTTTAAATCCCAGTGTTAGCACCATTGAAATTATTAATTTTAAGGTCTGAATTATACATGCTCGGCGGTGAGATAAAACATCGTGAGGAAAGCGTTTTTCGAAATTATACCAAAAAGATATTTCAAAGATATGCGAAGCTTACAATCGGCGGGGTCGCGTGGTGGACTATAGCCTAGCACTCTCTATACAGATACTTTGCCCAGCAGTGGGAATTTCCATAATATAATTATATAGGCTGTTATTTTACTTTGCATTTAAAGATAGAGGAAGACGGATAAAGATTTGAATGGACTATGAAAATAATTATATTCAGTGAAAGAGATGAGTGTTGAGATGAAAGGACATGTTGTGCTGACCTCATCTAGTGTGGGACAAGGGCAGGAGAAAGTAGAAGAAGCTCGTATTATGACTTTATATCAAAAGTTTAGAGCGTAATAAACGTGACAGTATTAGAAGATCGTTTGAACTTCGGAACCTACAATGTCAATGATACTTGCTGGACACATTAAGCTCTCTATCGGTGCAAGATAGACCTGTTCTGATTGTAATTAAAATGGCAGCGGTCTACTGAAATAGATCAAAAAATAAAGATAAAACTAAGGGAATATTGCAGAAAATTTCTCTTTTTTCGATTTCAGACAAAATTTTAATAAAGATTTGTAAAATATATTACTCCATTAGTATGATCGTAATCGTTAAATATTTATTAGTCTTAATCATGGAGACTTCTGGTTATTTCTGAACGAAGTACATTTTAATATTTTCTTTCGGTATTTTTAAGTATAAAAAACATCCTGGCTTACAATTATTGAGTTGGTTAATGGAGATATTGGTACAGGAGTTTCAGTTAAATATAACAGATTTTCAGATTAATACATAACTTACGGATGATTAACACAATCGAGATATTTTTCTACTTAAAAATGTTTTAATACTGATTATCTAAAGACAATAAGCCGGTGGGTCTAGAAGTAGAATTTTTTCTGATTTTTTTGATTAAATAGAATAGAAGTACCTATAAGTGTTGAAATAGAAGGAGGACGATGAAATACGGTACCTAATTATAATTTTGTAGTATTGTTGAGTCACAATTTTTGCTTTATACTTCATGTTTTTTCCTCACGGAAGAATCATTTAACGATGTCTATTATTCCCGTTAACCGAGTTTTATCAATAAAAGAGCTAAGTCCTCGGCTATAAATATTTTTAACATTACCAACACAAGTCATTCCAAGCCGATTAAAAAATTATTCACCGTTCACTTGTTTTGTTATTTGTTTTAATATCTAATTATTCTTTTAACAATTAATATAATATTCAATATGGATAAAATTATTAGTCGTTCATATTCTGTTGTCATTTGCGTAGATAGAGACTTTGTTTTTAAATAATTTACTAAGTTTTTATAGTATTGAATAGTTGTGAGAGTAAGACCAACAAAAATTGTTTTATATTTTACATAAATAAATATTTCGGGTCACATTTTGACACAACGTTATTTAGTCTCAAAATAAGCAAATCTTGCATTATAGGTACTAGGTAACTGATAAACATACTTAAACGTACTTTTCTTTAGTCAATAATAAAAAAGAAAAACACTGTGTTCATCACACAATATATTTCCTGTAGTGAGGATCGAACCCACACCCTCTGTCGCAAGAGACAGCGTCAATATCCACTACGCCAGTGGTGTCGTCACACATTCTAAACGTCGTCTACAAATTTCACTTAGCACAAAGTTTTCAGAATGATGATATGGAAGCTCACTTATTATTTGTGCTTTGGAATGGGAACATCACAGATGTTAGCACTTGAAGCTTATCGGTCTTTCAGAACGTCTCCGTCTCTTATCTTAAAACTCAAGAGTTAGTTGGGACTTTTACATTGTTGAACTTAACGTACTTCGTTGCCAATTCTCGCTCTTTTACTAGAATCATTTTAGAATTATTTATAAAAATAAGTAAATTCAATGAAATGAAAAGGGAAACCCGTTTTAAAGTACATATATATATATATTTCTTTATTTTTTTATATAATTATTATTTTTTTAATTCTATTATTCAATGCCATTCTCTATCGATCATCGTAGATAAGAAATGCTGTGAAATATAGCGACACCTTTTAATAAGCTATTCGTGTTCTAAACATATTTAGGATGTTGAAGTATCGTGTTGAAAAATAACTTTATATTGTGAGAGTGTTACGTTTTAATTCAAAATACATTTTAGCTATATAGTAAAATGCTTAGTGGTTCGGACAAAATTTCTTTTTTCTAAATACTGTTATCGATGCCGCAAATTTCTCAACGCACAGATTTAAAAAAAACTTGTAAAAACTACAATAGCCTTAAATAATGTTAACGTAAATTATTTTCAATGATTTTTAATTTTTTTCTTGTGCAATAATTTTAGAACTCGCGGATTCGTTAGCAGTCGGTTGTTTCACGACAGGAGTATAAATATATTTATCTATATGGCGCGATTTCACAACACAAATCACATAATCGCGTCCATTTATCGGGTCCGATGAACCCGCACACGATACAACGTGCACAAAAAGACAAGCTCGTCAAGATAATGCGCAGTCGCTTTGTACGGCGGGTTATCAGTGACAGTGACAAGTATTAATAAAGGACAACTACCGCGCTTGACCGGCTGGCGGTGGAAAAAAGAATCAAATCAGAAATTATTACAATACGCGCCGTGTAGGTTTATCACGGCATCGATCTTAATGCAGCACGAACAAACGGAGGCCGGTTATAAAGACGTTCATAGATTCGACTTCAGATTTGTCACAGATTATTAATTCCAACCCCTCTAATATAATCGACTCAATTATTAATCTGTTATATTAATAAAGGGAAAATCATTCACCTTCTTTGTAAACGCATAAACAAATTTATCGTTTACACACATTATTCTAGTGCGATATGCCATTATCCAAAGTTGGGTGTTTCTTAATACTTTCTTTAATTATAGTTGACTCACGGTTTACAGTTTTTATATAACAGTATTATTATTTATTAATTGTGAAGAAGAAACTCGTTAGAACAGAGGTGACTAGATCACTTCTTTGCCAAATTCGGAAACATGAGGAAATAACTAAAAAGAAACGAGATACAATCTCCTAGGTTTTATAAGAAAAGAACTTGATGACGTTTTGATCTACTATTCGGCTATTGTTCTACTGAATCAATTCCCTGCATAAGAGTTTAAGCTCAGTTTGAGTGGTTAATGCATCGTGAGATCTTAATAGCTTTCCTGGCATTTCTTAAAAAAATCTCGGCTTTGTTTAATTTTTTAGCGCTCGAAAGTTGGCTATCGAATAGATAAGAAGTTAATAATACTTAAAAGAGAGCGGAGGATTGAGAAATAACAAAACGGATACAACGAATTGAAGACTGCCTATTAGACTTATTTACCTTTTGGTAATGAGATTGTTATGATATTTAAGTTATCGCAACTACCTCATTACATGTACATCATCGATATTGTAAATTGCTGAATAAACATTCATAATATCTTTTAAATGTTAAATAAAATTATTTTGACCGTCTGTCTGTCTCGTACCTACAGATTCGAAGTGTTCGAAAATCTAAATCAAATGATTAAAAAAAAAACAACCGTAAACTACTTTTTCTGTAGTATTAACCTAAACACAAAAAACGGACTGTTTTTGTGTTTTACATTAACCGTCTATATTTTAAATTTAATATTTTCACAGAAAATAACAATCGGCAAGGTCAACTTCTGTATGTACTTTTAGTGCATGATAGGAGCCCAAGTGTGAAATTTTATTTATGTAGTAAATTGTAATATGTAGTAATGCATCTGATAACTCCACAGTAAATTAGATTCGCTTCTTTTTGCAAAGTTTCCTCGATCTCATTACTTTAATGATTTTAAAAATTTCGTTATCCTACATCTTATTTTTGTTGAAAAGGCACATCAAGTAAATACATAGAAGGATTTTCATAGACAGATAAAAGGTTTTCACGGAGTTCTTTTGAAGTTTTTGAATTTTCTAATGCACCTCCAGCAAATTTCACGCAATTTCATCATTCATTTCATGTCAGTCATGTGAACCGTAAAAGTGCATTTGGAATTGAATGTAACAGCATAGTTCAATTAGTTTTTGTAGTAGTAGTAAATAAAAATGACAACATATATACATATTACGAAATATATATAAATACGAAAGTTTACAAAAAGTGTGTATGTTCTTTTATCGCGATGCAATGGCTGAAAGGATTTGTGGAAAAATTGCGACAGGCATAGCTTGTAAGCCGTATTCACAGGTTATTTTTCCCCGTATAGGTATCCTATGTGCTAACTATTTTATGCACGTATCGACCAAAACTGTTTAGTATTGATATATAGTAACATCAAGTTGAGTTTTTAACCGAAAAGTTAATTAATGTTTTAATTAGCGTTGGACTATAGGTTCAATTGCATGTGATATTGATCAAGGCAAATTAACGTTTTAATTAGTTTTCGGCTTTAGTTCCCATTACAATGTGATGTTCTACAAGGTATGAATGAAAAAGCGTTTACACGTCTAACCAACTAGACGCTTGGCTCGATTCCATCCTTCGTTGTTGACATTCACGTTCTTGAACCAAGCCTGCTTTACCATTAATTGTCACAGCAAATGAATAGAATAATTTTGTCGGCGTCTGTAGTTTACCCTCTATGGCTCCATCTCCACTTACCCACGGGTGAGATATCAGTCCATCGCTTGGCAGTCTAATAAAAAACCACGTGTGAAAACATCATTGTAGTGTAGTTTTTGTACTGTGGTTGACACACACAGCATCTCTCTTCTGTTATTGCTTTAATGGGCTAGTGCGTTCGGGGGCGTGCCACGATCTCACAGAAAGTTTAGCGTTTGCATTTCTGTAACCGAGATAATTTGAAACGAACCGTGTTCAATTTGGCAAAGCAACAATATCCTTCCTCATGTTATGGATATGTATCTCCCTCATTAAAACAGCATTTCGGAAATAAAACACACACATTGTTTAGGTATATTGTGTATAAAAAATTTTTGGTCCTAACTCGCTTACTTGTAATTTAATTTCATGTAACTCGTAATTTCGATCCAGATTCATCCCACGGGCTCTATACGAATTTCCCACATGAGCATTACTCCATGAGACACTCTGGGCCATAAAATGTCAAAATATTTGAATATATCACATCTATGGCGTCCTTTCGTGAAAGGAGAAAAATTTGTATAACCTCACTCTCATTTAAAAATAAAATAAACTTAATAGCAAAATAAATTTGTAAATTGTGGGTAATAAATAAAATTAAAAATTTCTAAACCGCTGTTTTATGAAAGAACAAAATAGTACATGCTATGTGTGGTAGTACCACGCAGTAGCTACGGCTGTTGCACTGATGGGTGGGCTAATGCGGGGAAGTACGACAGCCTACAGAAGACCAGCGTGAAGTGGGAGTATGGGTTACACTGAGGTAACCGAGGCCCACTTTTTTAATGTTGGCGACGCATTTGCAATCCGTCAGGTGCTGTAGATGTATAAGGAAGGAGGTTAATCACTTTATCATTAGGTGAACTGTCTGATCGCTCGACAACTTTTCACATAAAAACATACAAACTGAGATTCGAAAAGATTTTCATATTTGTCTCCAAAAATATCGTCGCCCTTCAGTGATTATATTTTAACACATGTTAAAAAAATTAAACTATAACATACTGCCAAATGAATTATATTAACCATAAACATATTATGTTATTAACATATTTATACGGTTATTACGTTTATTGGTAATTAAATAACGTACTATTAAAACATTTTACATTGACATTGGGGTAGGATTGTGCGTTCGTTGTGTGCAATCGTTATTACAAAGGCTTGATCTTTTGTACCAGAGCTAGTGCGTATCGAATCTCACGAGATTCATTCGAAATTCGTTATATCTAGCGCAAAATCGAGCGCCCCGGATCAAAGAGCATCCGTCGAACACGGTGTCGGGCCGCAGTGAGCCGGCCACGCTGAGATGCGTGGTCGAAGGTCGGCCGAAGCCAGCCGTGCAGTGGTTCAAGGACGGCGCGCCGCTGCCCTCAGCTGACGATGGCCACAGAGTACTTTTGGAGGACGGACTGCTGTTTTTAAGGTGAGAGAGCACAATACGACCCAATCAACATGAATCACTACATAGTCCTTACTAATATTATAAAGGCGAAAGTTTGTATGTATGGATGGATGTTTGTTACTCTTTGACGCAAAAATACTGAATAGAATTTAATGAAACTTTACAATAATATAGCTTATACATCAGAATAAGACATAGGCTATAATTTATTTATATGTTTTATGCATATCTGTCTTTCTGTCTGAATGTTACGCCTTCAGCTTATTCTACGCAGACGTAGTCGCGGGCAGCAGCTAATATAAAAATAAAACAAAGTCGTCCCGCTGTCTCTCTGTCCCTATGTATGCTTAGATCTTTAAAACTACGCAACGGATCTTGATGTGGGTTTTCTTTACTAGATAGCGTTCTATCGAATAGCATTCTATCTAGGAGGTGGTCGGGAAAAGTATGAAATAGCGTAGAAGTTAATTTAGAAATGTTATAAAAATACTTCTAGGGAGAAGTTTAAATAAATTAACTTGTTCGATTTACAAAATTAGTTTTATAATTTAAGACGCAAGCCGTGTTATTTGTTCATGTATTATTTATGATTTACTGATAAATTATGTTGTTATAGTGTTGAAATACGTTCAGTTTTTGAAAAAAAGGCGTATTGGTTTTAGGGTAAATCGGGGTAAGAAAGATAGCGATGAAGGCATTTACTGGTGCGTAGCTAAGAATATTGCCGGAGAAGCAGTAAGTCACAACGCATCTCTTAATGTCGCTGGTGAGTATTTACTAAATATATTAATATACACAAACACGTTTCAATTATATTTTTCGCTTATGAATTTCATTTGTAAACTATGGGATTGAGGGAAATAGAACAATTGTTTCAGTTCTACGCGATGAGTTCAAAGCCGAACCAAGAGATGTGCATGTGGCGGCGGGTGAACCCGCCATTCTAGAATGTTCTCCACCACGTGGCATTCCAGAACCTTCCGTGCATTGGCTTAAAGACGGACAAATGTACGACGTTGAAGTGAACGGAAGGTAAACTCCACAATCGTAATACAAAATTTAGAAATTGTATGAAAATAATTAAATTGTATGATTAAGTGCTTAATTAATTTCAGAGTGACGGTAACGGAGACTGGTAGTTTGAGGATTTTGGAAACCTTGCCTACTGACAGTGGACTGTTCAGGTGTGTGGCATCTAACGTCGCTGGTGAGAGACAATCTAGAGCCGCGGCCTTGATCGTATTGAGACGACCGCACTTTGTTGTTAAGCCCAGCAACGTTACAGCTTTAGTAGGTCAGGATGTTGAATTCAATTGTCAGGTGTGTATTTTGTTCACTGATTTTTTTACGTTTTTTAATAAAGCTCGATTTCGAATTGCTCGAAATTCATGTTAGGTACCGGTATGCGACTGCAGTTTACAACAGATATGTTTGGAACTTATTAAGCCCGATTAAATGCTAACGGATATTAAGTAATAACTAGGTTTTACCCCGTTATGGGTAAAAACATAAGAACTATTATGAACTATATGTGAAGTACGAATATAATTTAAACTATTTACAGCTCCGGAGTTTTAATAAATTGTTATAGTCATTTGACGTTGCGTCTTTGGTTATATTAGAATTAATATATTCTTACTTTCCATCGTTAATGTATTTCTCGATAAGTTTTATAACATTATATATAGAGAAAAATAAATTATATGGAAGGTAATTTCAAAACATAACGCAGTATGAAAACTAATTCTTCATTCTATATTCATTACTTAATGTTAACGATAATAATTACCTAATATATAAATGAATAAATTTGAAGGTATATTTGTCATAATTAAAATTTTAGAGCTACGACACTTCAGTGTCCATTACATGGGTCAAGGAGGACGGTGTACTGCCAAACCACGCGACAATAATACGCGGCCTATTGCGGCTAGAGCGCGTGTCCGCGACAGATGCGGGTGTTTACTCCTGCCGGGCCGACAGCGTTGCCGGATCGAGTGTGGCGAGCGCCTCCCTCACCGTGTACTGTGAGCTCGGTCAACGGTTAACATTTATAGCGTGGATGTTTCGATAACGGGACCACTTAACGTCGCCATCTGTTTCAGCGTTGCCGCACTTCACTCAGATACCGTCCAATTTGACCACATGGGAGGGCGATGTGGTGTCCATTCCTTGCGAGGCCAAAGGCCTGCCGACACCCACCACGTTTTGGATCCTGGAAGGCGTCGAGGACGTCCTTCTGTTTCCAGAATGCACGAAGAGCAACTCGAGCTTGTTGTATTTGGACGGCGCGAGAGCCGAACACGGCGGAAGGGTTATATGTGTCGCTGTGAACGCCGCCGGCAGCGTAATGCAGGAGGCCTACTTGAACGTGCTGAAGAAAGTAAACGCTTACAACCAACGCACGAGACAAGAATCGAGCGACAGCTACGAATACGAGGCACAAATGACCGAGTACGAACTTGTGCAGGCGCGCAAGTATTTGAAACAAAACGTTCTCAAACTGCGGAGGGTGGAAACTTTGTCGTCGACCTCGCTCAAAGTTGTCTGGGATGTGGGTATTGTCACGAAGTTTGATTGTTGCGGGGAAACGTGCCGGCGTTGATACGATGTACGTTTCAGGTTTTGACGGATTACAACGAATACTTGGAGGGCGTGAAGATATGGTACAACGGAACATCGCTGAACTGGCGTAATTCCTGCTCGGAAGATGTTACGATCAGCTCGCCGCGGACGGAGGTGCTTTGTTCGAACGGGTCGCTGACTAACGTCGGTAACAGCGGCTCGTCGAGCTACATACTCTCCGGACTGGCGGCGTACACCCAATACGACGTGTTCCTGATGCCGTTCTACAAAACGCTGTTGGGGAAACCGTCCAACTCTATGTCGGGGTACACCGATGAAGACGGTAAATATCCGTTGTTTCCCCGACATTCATTGGGGCGAGAGTGTCGGTTACGTCGTAAATTACGTTTCAGTGCCATCAATTCCGCCCCAAAGCGTGACTGCGAGTGTAATTAACGCGACCTCGGCCAGGATACGATGGGAACCGCCACCTGCTAACACTTGGAACGGCGAGCTCACCGGTTATTTGGTGAGTTTTCATTTTGCAGTAAGACATTATGGGCACTTCTTGGAAAGTAAACAATTGCCTGTCGGAACTGTCTTGACGTTTTGCACCATGCTCTTTGTTTGTTTATCATTAACAAGCTTGACGCGCCATACTCTGTTAGTTTATTAAACGTGCCGTTTGATATATAGACGGATTATTGTGGAGAGTAATCCAATGGGCTAAAGGGTGAATCATTTTCTAATTCAGTTGTGCAGTTCTATTAAATTCGTAACAAACTCTTCTTCAAATCGTATATGACGATGTTAAGATCAATAATAAACATTCGTATTTTTTCTGTCAGCTATGCTTTTGGCTCCTTACCGGGTTTGTTGTATTGCGATGACTGTTTAAAGTATGTGGTTTACAATTGGGCTTTAATATTTAAGTATTGATTTATAGTTTAATTATAGATCTGTCTATTTCTTAAGTAACAATTTTCTTACGTATTGCATGAATTTTGTTATTAAATTAACATTCTATTGAGTGTAATGATTCATAAGTTATTATTTACTAAGCAGTTAAACAGTGCTCACTTAAAAGTTTAAGCACACATCAGTTGCGAGTATCGTAATTTTTTTGCAATAGAATAGTCCTCATATGTTACATTGTGTTTTTTTGTGTTTAACTACATAAATGTATCATATATTATAAATTTTAATAATCTATTAACAAAAAATGAATATATAACATGCCAATATTATGTATTTAGTTCACATTTGGTTTTATATGCGCCGTATATGTCTTTTGGCTGGCGGTTTAACTGGCAATGTGACATTAAATAACGAGAAAAAAAGAAGATTTGCGCTCCCGTTCGAAATTTAAAGAAGGGTCGATCAATCGTTAAGATCGAGATCCGCGTGGGCGGGAACAGCGGCGGCCGAGTGGTTGGCCAGATGTCCCTCGGCGCGCGAACCCGGGCGGCGACGGCTAGCTCGCTGCGCGCCGGCGGGAAGTACAGCGCGCGCGCTGCGGCCGTCACGCGCAAGGGACACGGGCCCTTCAGCGCGCCGGCGCAAATCCATATGCTGCCTACGCAATCGCAGAGGCATTACGTGCAGTAAGTAAGGCTCATTTTTGCGTGATGAGACCCCCGATACGATTCTTTACTGTTTTCTGTCAAAACACACTGCGACAGAAATTAAAAGCATAATCCTTTATTCACAGTTGCTTTTAGGAAACCGCAATAGTTATACTAATGTTCATAGGTTTTATTAAAGTTTACTGCCTATTAAAAAAAAGCAAGTTCAGAACGATTGTCTATATACATAAGTCATAAAAGCAGTATGTGCCATATATGTGTATGTATTTGTGTATTGCGATACAAGGGACTAATGTATTATTAGTATCGATATAAATAGAGCCTTATCTAAATCAGATGTCGCTTTCATTCGTAGCACAATTTACAACTTGTTCGGTCGTGTACTCGAATTGCCGAAGAGATGCCGCTTGCTAGTAAGCGATAAACCTATATTGGCCTTACTTCACAATTATTTTAACATCTGTATTGGAAAATTTGTCCCAATATTATTGAGGAGCCAATTGGCGCAGTGGATGGTGTACTTGTCTCTCGTGCTAGAGAGTGTAGGTTCTATCTCCACTGCTGGAAAAATGTGGTTTTCTATATGTAATGATTTTTACAAAAAAAAAACTGGTTTATCCATTACTTGGTATAAATATAAAGTGTAAGAATAAGGTTGTGTAAGAATATCTCTTGAAATATTTATTTGTTTGAATAAAAATTATTAGCAGCTTTTGTTTCTTATCTGTGTCTCGCGTTAGATTTCATAGCGGACAAAACATTTTGGAGCGTAACTTTTGCAGGACGGAGCCGCCGAAGGACACGGGCATCCCCCATTTATTACAAGAGACGTGGCTGCTGGCTCTTTGTTTGACCTTATTCTCGATCATCATAATAGGACTGTTTACTGTGTACTACGTGAAACGGCGTAACACCGTCCAAAGGAAGAAATCAACTGGTAAGACGAATTGGCTCTTCATTTAGGCTCAATTGAAACCTAGATGGCGGCGTTCGCAGCGACACCTCCGCTCCTATGGCATGAACAACTAACGGTTCACATAAACTGCATTAAAACGAAGGAATGAAAGATTTCAAACAAAATATCGATTAAACAAAACTGTGTGATTTTTATCTTTTGCAATTGTAAGAATAAATTTCAAAAAATAAGCTGTTTACAGTTCATAATCTAACGTTATGTATAATAATTTTCAAGCTTAATGATCATTCTAGTTTTTTTTTCTTTATATTTAAATACCGGTTTTTAAAATCCCATTCAAATAAATAAATTCAAAGTTTATATCTTCGATAAATAATTTCGTTTGAGAGTCGTCATTTAAATAGATGCAGCTTATGCGTTCGTCAATTATTTGAGATACTACATAAATATTCTTACATATCTTGACCATATCAGAACAAAAATCAGTCGGTCTAATCGTTTCAATCTTTGTATCATGCTACGCTGCCCTCTCGGTGTGAATTGAGCCTTGGAGCGCGATGTCGCAAATGGAGCAGCGATTGAGACGTTGAACCCGATTGTAGGTCAGTCGATTGTCACCGCCCAGCAGTGCCTGTTGAATAAAGACACAATTTGGCTCCGCGAGAGGCCGGTGTTCGCGCCTCCAAGCGAGAGCGCCCTCGACATGGGCAACTGTCACCAGAGCCTCCTACAAGGTGATTTATTGGGTGGCGTGAGTCGCCGTTCGTTTATCTATTTAATTTATAATGAGCTTCGTTAAACACAATGCGTGTTACGTGTAGTAAATAATCGTTAATGTCGAGCTTACTCCAGTTTTCAAGCTACTTGAAAAAGGCAGGAGGTTTATATTTCGGTTGTATTTGTTTTATGTGTGTCAGCAACAAGCCTCAGAACTTTATGTAACTTAGTAGTCAATTCATGAACCGATTTTAAAAATTATTTTTGTATTGGGTTTGATTTAGAATATATTTTCATTGATATTGGACCTTGGAATCGTTTACGCGCCCACAACGAGAGCTAAAAAGCGACATGATAAAGTTGGTTGCAAAGCGACCAACATCGCAACCAATATTTTTTTTGACATTTAGCTATAATTCCAAGTTATTAAACTAATCAACTTAAACGTTATCAATTGCATTTTATTTCTCTTTCACAAACAGAGACTTTTGTTATGCTAAAAAAGTATAACTTCTTACGTGCGTACATAAGTACACACACGTGTTTTTTTGTTAATAAAAATGTTTTACTTCATAGTATACACAAGTAACGCTATTTCAAAAAACTTAAAAAATTCTTTAATTAATCAGTATTCTCAAATACTCTTTAAAAAATACTAGATTTTATATTAAAATAAATATATAGCTATGTTTTGTTAGTCATTGAAGGAGTACGTCAATCGTAAAGATTTTGCTGAGACGTTTAGTGTTTTTATTCAATTGTAATTTTATATTTAATTGCACCGTTTCAAACTAGTACTACTCCATACTAGGAGGTCAATCGACGAGCATTCTCAACGTGGAGCCCGAGTATTGCCTGCCGCAAAACTCCATCCAGGGCCTGGACGCGTCCAGCGTGGACCGGATAAAGCGCGGCCCGCCGGAGCCGTACGCGTCGAGCGCTATTTACACAGAACTCAATTTCAAGGTACCGCGCGATAAGCGTTATGAGAATTTCACTGTTGACACTCGATAAGATTGCGCCTGGGCGATTTGCGCAACCGTACACCGTGACGTTAGTACAGTACCCTAAAAAATTCCCGCGCAGGACAATGGCGACACCGGAGAGCTGAGAACGTGCGCAGAGAGGCGCTCCCACAACAACAGCATAGTGAGGTCGTGCAACGGCAGCGTGCAGTACTCGAATGGGGAGTGCTCGACGTGTTGCCACAGCACCTCCAGCAGGTCGACGAAGGACTACAGGGAGGTCAGGCACGAGCTGGCCCACGAGATCAGCGCGATAGAGGACGACTGCGCCTCTTGCCACACGAACCGCTCCGGTTCGAGGAGCAGACAGGACAAGAGCAAGGTGTGCCCAGCCAGCGAGCTGGAGTACGACTACCCGCAGTGGCACTGGCTCGGCAGGGAGAACAGCTTCAAAATCCCCATCCAGGCGAGGCACTCGAGTGTAGCGAAGAGCGAGCAGGGCTGTCAAATTAATCTGAGCGATATACTGCCCCCGCCGCCGTATGAGGTACGCGTATAACTTTTTGTTGGTCTCGTTTTAAATCCTTTTTACTGGTATTTATAATCTCTGCCCTTCCACAGAGTCCCGAGGGGAAAAAGTGAATGGAGACACACGTGGCGTTGAATCCGATGTAAGTTTGGCGTCGCTCGAGGAACTTAAAGCAATAATCAATATCATCGTTTAAAACTTGTAAACTTATTTAATATCTGTAATTAAATCACAATCTTTAGGTAATGAATGATGATACATCGTTAATATTATTGAACGATGAACACATTCAACACTTTGTAGAATAACTTTTTGCCGACTTTGAATTATCTGCATTTGATTTAAATACATACATATATTAAACAAATACGTACAGAAGTATTTGATAAAGCATCGCACATTTCTGTTTATCAATAAATATATACGGTTTTTAATAAATACCTAAAGATTGTAAGAAAAAAAGTAGTCGAATTCAATTGTAGTGTTCTAAGTGTAATCCTAGATACTGATTGATGTTTTGATATTTGTATAATGTAACTTATTCCTAATTCTAGTCACAGTATAGACTAGCTTCACTTTTGATAAACATTGTATGAGATACTTTCTCTTTTAAAAGCAAACACCGCTGTATGAGGTTGTTCAGTATTGTTTGTAAGACGATTACATCCCTGCATTCACTGCCCTTTACATTTAGTATTAGAGTGTTAGTTGTGTAATCTTTGACTGTGATATTTATATTAAATTCGTGTATTAGATGTTAATATAATCGTAGTGTAGGTAATAAATTCTTTCGAAAACTTCACATTTCCAGAACTTTGATTTCTTTCTAAAGCGTTCACATGTTTCGATTTTAGTCTGTAAAATAACGGGGTATTTTGGTTTTATATCAAAATATTTTCTGAGCCAGTTGTGTTGCCGAGAAGGAAAATATAGCAACTTTTTAAGGATACACTATGTTTCATTTTCACCCCTTATGACAATTTCTTTTAAATTATTTTTACTGCTAAAAATGTTCTATTTTTCTATTTCCATTTTAATTCCCGACGTTTAGTGTACAAAACGTAGGGAATTAAATAAAAAAATACACTCAATAAATCGGTAAATACAGTTTCATTCACCCCTTACGTTTATCTCATATTAAATCTATTGATTTGTGGGTGATTCAAAGCCATTGCTAGGAATCGGCTCATAAAAGCATCGTTTTATATTATTCTTGTTTCATATTCCTTTTATTGTTTTCGTTTGCATGTCGGGTGAGGTTTATGGCATCCCGCATATGAAAACGTATAAAAGGCGATGTAAATAATACACTACTTAGTAATGAAGCACGTCGTTACTTGAGGAAACATCCCTTTGAAGAGTCGTTAACTCGCGCATTCGATACGAACACGACAGAATTCTGTTCAAATTTTATTTTATTTGATTTTAAAAAAACTTGAGTGTAACTAGAAAAAACTTAAAGAATGTCATTTGATGGAGTAGCTAGACTATATTTTTTTTGCGTCTAAAATGTAATAAATACATAACTATATATAACAAACAATTATTAGTAATCGAAATGTAAAAGACTTTTTCATTTCTTGCTATCATTTAATTTTTTTTCATCAAGAGTGGGTTTTTTTGTATATCGCTACCATAAATAAATCCCTATCATTAATTCTTCCTCAAGGCCTTCTATATCTCACATCTTTGCAATTTTAGACCACTCTTATGAATATACCAATTTTATTAGACAGTAATATCGAATTACGGTATTATTGTATAATAAAACTGATACTAGCTAGAGGTTACGGCATGTTGTAACTATTTAAGATTAAGATTTTTATAGTACTTTTATTATTGTTTACTTTGATACAATAATAGCGTATCATTGACTAGATATATTTAATATTCAGATCAAATATAAGTTAAAGTTTTGCAAAATATTAGTACACACGACCTCGCCTTCAATTCAGATTCTTAAAAGCAATCGCGGTTTGGTTCACGGCGTTGTTGGGAACAAACGGATTATTTTTACTTAAATAAATACCATTTGGCGGAATTGATCGAATCTCTTCCAAATTGCTTTTAATTAATAACACCGTCTCGGCACGGAATGGAGATATTTTACCGAATCACGCGAAAGGGCAACTCCTTAAGAGCATTCGGTAATAAATCCCAATTCTCAATTTATTCCCGTCTTGTTTACTATCAGCTTTTATGGTATCCTTCCCGCTACGAGGTTTCCTTTATCAGGACATTTTATAAATGGAACAAAGGGCCATTCGAGTCGAAATACATCCGTGCCTCTCATAGAGCTTTCTAGCAAATATAAGTCTGAGCACATTTCTAATTATTTGGAAGCAGTTTAAGCTTTAGATCGTGCAATTTAGGAAACTACACAGTCGCCGAGTAAGGTAAGTGCACTTTAAATATTCGACTTAATCTGGCTTAAGTAAGCGGGGATTATCTTTGTCTTCCACTATTGCTATTTGCTGCTGCAAATCTCGGAACGTAGAACGCGTTAATGCTCTTAATTTTATTTTAATTTGTTTAAACATTATATAATAATTAAAATTTTGGAAAAAATCGATGATATTTATTTCGAATTCCTCACTTCACATATTTATTAAGTGAAACTGGTTTCACTCGATCTAGTTCACCTTGGTACGAATCTGAATTGCGCTTTTGTCTTCTTCTTTAATTGCCCTTTCGATCAGTGAAAGTTACTCCAACTTGTAATGTAATAAAATATATTCATGTATATTTATTGCCACATGTCGGCACATTCGTCATCTCTGCCACATGATTGAAGAAATATTTAAAAAAAGACACATAAAGAACATTAAAAAATATACCATACGATAAGTGTATCCTGTGTTGTAGACAGTTTTTTCATATACAGTTTGTGCGTGGACAAATATGTGGAACCGTAATATTTATTTGTATAAGATGTAAAAACGACCTCTAGAAATTTAGCTATGGCTCGCGGGACCGGAGTCTATCATTTAGGAACTACTTCAGCCCAATCATTAAAGTAAATTATATTCGGACATAAATTAATCAAAACTATTCTGAGATAAAATAGCTGTGTTTGACAAATTGACTAGGTGATGCAGTTGCTAAGGCTTCGGCTCCGGGGATCGTGGGTTCGATTCCCACACGGACAAGTGTTCGTGCGACCCACCGATAATAGACCAGAATAGGGTGTTTATTCAGAAGGGATGACGACTGGCAGGTGGTCCATCGTAAATACCTAATCAAAATCATACCAACCACAACGTGGTTCAGATGTTGTGTCGACCCCACTTAGGCGGAAGACGGGTAGGAAAAGGAAGAAATAGAGCGGTTTAGATTTTTATTCAGTTAATTATCTTTGTATTCTGCAACATTGTTAAGTAGCTTTTATAAAAAAAATATTTATGTCCGTTGAAGCGTCGCTCGATGTAAAATTGCTACTATCATTATGATAAAAGTCAATGTGTAGGGCAACGCAAAAGTCTTCGCTGTTAAACGAATGACCAGGTCCGCCCGAGAAAGTATTACGACCACACAGAATACCGGCGTGAAGTGGAAGTTTTATACATCTGCGTTACGTCTAGTGAGTGAGGTAACTGGGGAACACTTTATTAAAATTTGACAATCCATCTGCAACCCTGGGGGTGTCTCAAATGTCCATGGGTGGCGGTCATCACTTAACGTTAGGCGAACCGCCAGCTCGCTCGCCATATTCTTACATAAAAAAGACAAAGCTTTTTCGTTTCACGTTTCTTATGCCTTCATACGCCATTCATCGGCCACGTTTTAACGTTCTATAACTTTACTGGTTATCAAGAAGGCTAGAATTCCGAACGCCTTTATAACCACAATGCTTACAAAAGAGTTATGTGCATAATATAGAGGCGATCGTAAACATCGTAGTATTCCGGGAAAAGATCACGCTCTTCAAATGCGGGGCGTTTCGGAATGTCGTCGAATAAACAGTTCGATGGCGCCGAATTTGACGCCGCAGCTCGAATTGGTGGCAGCGCTGTGGATATCACGGCACAATTCGTTTATGGTGCATACGTGACCTCAGACGCCATTGCCGGCGCCTAAATGTTATGCGCGCATTTCATATTCAATTTTACACTTATCGGCGGAATGTAAATTGCTTTAGTAATATCTTTACTGGTTATATTTCCGCTTGCTCGAATATTCAATTAAATTGTACTATTTCGATATACGTCATCGAACGTCTTTTAAATAAAACTGAAATGCTGTATGTAGATAAGCGCATCACTTGAAAATAGCTGGACCGTTTTAGTCCTGTTTTATTGTTTGTTAGTGTTTCTATGAAATAATTTTGCTATAATTAGTTACAAATACTAGTTCGATAACTGACTTGTACACTAGTAACGAAAGCAACTTTCAAATACAACATGATTTCATTATGAAATATTATAAATAATGCATGTCCTCTGAACAAATAAACCCAATTGGATTTGTTGTGAACGCATTCATTAAGTATTAATGTATCACCGTGGCTGCGCTGGGAGCTTGGATATTTGAGATTAATCTGTGAGTAAAATTTTATGTTAATAAACATCGGCTCCCGGCCCATTTCCATCGAGAATACATTTATCATTTGATGGCGATCGAAAATAAGCCACGTTTGCAAATTGTACCGCGGTGCTGTGAGATCTGGTTTAGCCAACCCACTTACCTACATCTCATTTGAATATATTTCATCTAAATGCATTGCTTTTCAGCTGAATAATTTTAGCGTAGATCTTTTGTTATTTACATAAGAGGCCGTAACGTTTTCGTTCGCAGAACTAAGCGGACGGCTAGGTAAAGTCGCGATATTAATAAGCGAAATCGTGATAAACTCTTTCAATTATATTAAAGTACAAAATAGGCACGTGGTACGTGCCACGTGTCACGTGTAAGAAGAATAAATTCTCGCTTGCAGATAACTCATGACAATTACTAATCAACATGCTCTATTAATAGTATACATAAGAAGTGTAAGCGCAAAACATAATGGTGGATGGAGCTGCTCACTCTACTTTTACTGAGCTATATCTTTACTATCTTGCATCTACTTACGAGGTAAGATAGTGGTTAAATTCTGACCACATTATTTAAA